TAAAAAAGTTAAATTATTCAAAATCTTTGTCACAGCTCACCTTCAAATTTACTTATTTCTTATTTTTTTTCTGAGGACCAAGAATGCCTAGCATTCCTCTCCAGACAAAGTGTCCATCATTCTTATTTGTGCAGCACTTGAGAGAGGAACCTTCTGTGTGCTGAATATGAATTTGAAGACAGAGAAGCAATTAGTAGCTGCTTTCTCTTAGGTCTACTAATTTTATATGTCGAGCACAACAGCAAAACACCTAAAATCATGTTTTATCTCAAGGAAAAGCTGACCTTGGTCAAATTAAGCTATGAGGGTATTTCTGCTAAACTTATCATCATGAACCAGTGAGTTTCTTTCTTTCTTTCTTTCTTTCTTTCTTTCTTTCTTTCTTTCTTTCTTTCTTTCTTTCTTTCTTTCTTTCTTTCTTTCTTTCTTTCTTTCTTTCTTTCTTTCTTTCTTTCTTTCTTTCTTTCTTTCTTTCTTTCTTTCTTTCTTTCTTTCTTTCTTTCTTTCTTTCTTTCTTTCTTTCTTTCTTTCCATTTATTTGTCTTTAAAAACTTATTTAAAGAAAAGTTGCACAGAATTGAACTATTTTATTCCTGACTGTAAAGTTCCTGACTGAACTGTATTGTAAAACACAGAAAAATGGCAGATTCATCATAGGTTCATCTTCATTCTTTGTCAATAGTTATAATTTCTGACTATCAGTTCAGATTATTTTTTTCTACCACTACAGTGATGAAAGAAAGACCTTTAAAGGTATAGTGGAGGATATTGTTTTTCTGGGTGGATCATCAAAATAAGTGGCCCTCCTAATTGTCAATCATTCTGGTGATATTTTTTACATAAGGTCATCCTACGTGTTTATCTCCATTTTCATATTTACCGGTAGTGATTCTGACTTAGAGGAAAAATTGCTAATCTTCTTGTGGAAAGTAAGCTTGTATGAGCGATGCAAACAGCAACTTAAACAGAGCGTGCACGAGTAGAATTGGTGTTACCCCTCGGGAGCGGGTACAGGGTTGTGGAGACTTTTCAAAAATTCACAAAAATTCTCCACTACACCTTTAAGTCCTCCTATGAATGTCTCAAAGACAACAAATGTGGCCTAATCAAATTCTACACTTAAATCCGATTGAGATGCTGTTTTTAACTGGGTTTTTATGATAAGACCTGAGTTAAAACAATTCTACAAAGCTGAGTGAAAAAAAATTCCTCAACAGCTGTAAACTACAACTTCTCAATTACTGGAAATGTTAGATGGTAGCTGTTGCAGTTTAAAGATTCAATAGTAATTTGTGTTTTTAATTAACCAATTTATTTAAATCTTAGCTGATTGATGAATCACCTAACTGCATTGTAATGTAGTAATATTATCTTTGTCTAATATTAATAGCCAATATCAATATTAGACAAAGATATGTGGGATGGGTAAGAAACAATCAAAATACTTAGATAGAGGATGCAACACAGGGTAATACTCCAGAATATTTGTCCCTTAATGCATAAAACTCTGGACAGCAGCCTTATAAAGTATATACACTAGATTCCCTACAAAAACAAAGATAAAATCAGTTTGTGATATGCCGAGAACAATATTTAATGCACCAAGAAATAGTAATTGCAAGTCCAATAAATCAAAATGTAAAATAGATGAAAAAAATGTCATTATTCCTGAACACTAAATCAATCCTATTTAATTTCACAAGCCTCTTTTCACCAACTTTCAAAGCTGCCATCTTTACTCTGCCCGTCAAAACTCATTAGGCCCTCACACCGGCTAATGTATTTGGACTCTCATCTGGATTTGTGACAAACATACACACGTTCCATTGTGACAGAGTAATAAAACACAGACAAAAAAAGACTCTAATTAGGCCCATAATCAATTGAGATGAGCAATTAATGCCTGGTAGGAAGCAGGGATTCTGACTTTTAATCAGGCCTGTGTTTTCTGTGCCCATAAAGCTGACAGTGGTCCATAATGAATAATGCATGCTCCGTTAATGATAATGCTCCTATCACCCACCTTGATGATATGGCTGAGCACAACCTATCACATTACACTCGGTGTTTTAGGCGTCACAATAAAACTGAGGGTAAGGTCTCTCTACATCACTGCATTGCTGGCACTACTGTACCCTTGATCAATTTTATAGCTTCTATTAATTTAAATTTTTAGGAATAGCTATTCCAGCTTCTTTGTATCATGGTGTGATTCAAAAAGGAATTACTTAGTTCATACATCTCAAGCTGTTTCATGTAAAGCATTGTTCAATATATCTCATTATCTTTTTGGATAAAATTAGGAAGCATGCTTTTTTAATTCAGGGAGTCTTGCAGATATTTATTAGTATTATGCTTTTGTAATACCTAACAAGGTAAAACATGTTTTAGTCATGCCAACATTCCCATCCTTAGGCTAAAAGTATGGACACCCCTTGGACTTTTTAAAGTTTGTACTGTCAGAATTATGAACCTAAATATATATATTTTTAACAGATAACAAAGTAGAGCATAATTCTGACATGGAACGAAGATGATAAATGGTTATATAAAAATCCCAAAAGTGTACCCCCTAAATAAAATGTAGTTCAACTATTTTCCTTCAAAAGTATATCAGTATTTAATTTGGTATAAATAATTCAACTTGATTATAAACTAATACAGTGTTTCTATAAAGGCCACAGTTGTTTATAAACACAGTGAGGTACAAACATAAGGAGTAAAGTAAGCAACAAATCACAAATGTCCTATGTAGAGGATTTATAAAGGATATAGCTAAAAATAGTCCTAGTACCATCTTTTTCACTTATAGCGGAGTCTTACTTCAGGGTCTGTATCCTTCAAAGGCTCTATTTGTAAACAGATTATGGCGCAGTGCTGCATTGAAGGCTGTCCCAATCAACAAATCCTCCTTAGAGTCCTTCAAATGTGTCCACCAAATGGATCCTTTCTTTGGCTGATTTGAAGGATGCATCTGGATGATCCTTTGTTGCCCAATATTTCAGTAATTCAGTGTGAGTAGAAGCTGATTTGTCAAGCTCAGGCAGCAATGGCTGGAAACAGTGGCAAAAATTGTGAATAAAAATTGAAATACGTTTTCTAGGACCTCAAATATTTTTTAAGATGTTTTAAGGCGAGAGTGCAGGTTTGATTAATACCTACCCGGTTCCTTAAGGTTCCAATTAATTAAAAAAAGTACTGTGGTGATTCTTAGTACTATCGTGCCTCAGCAGCTGTTAGCTCACTGGGCAGTCTTCTCTCCCTCTACAATGGAAGGCTCATGGTGCCCGACTCATTGTGTTCAACCTATTTTTGGCAAAACTGCTGGGTTGAGGTTAAACAACTCCTTCAGATAATATCAAAACTGTTATGTTTAGCTTATTAAAAACATTGATTTATTATCATATAAATACAGGCTTAAATTACATTTAAGTTTCAAACTAGATGATTTTATTTACCTATACTGGAGGTATAATAACAGATTAGTAATTAGCTCAACTTCATATGCCTGCAGCCATTGTACAACTGGTGCAGCTTTTAAATTAGAAAAACAAATTGGAACAAATTGTGAGGGTCCAGATAAAATATAAATTTTTCCCTGAGTATTATGGATTAAAAAGAAAAAGTTATGTTTACTGTATAAAACTGATTGTTCTTTCCAAATACCTACTATACCAACTTTCATTATACATGTATATATATATATATATGTATATATAAAAGCCTATGCTTATACACATCTTCTAGAAAAATATTTTTATGGTTCTTAAAACCAGAATATTGAAGGCTAATGAAAATTAAAATCCCTGATCTTCCTCTAATAGTTGTGACCTTTCATATGATATATGTTTCATTTATCTTTTTATTTCTGTGAGAATAGTCATACAAAATGAAAAAAAAATGTTGTTTTTTTTCAAGCATTCAGCTCCTGAACTGGGATATGCCCTATGCCACAATCATAATCTTTAACGGACATACTGAACAACTAGTAGTCATGCACATCTAGGTAATGATCTTTACAAAAGAGTGAAAGAAAGAAAGTTATTGTTGAATTAAAAACATAAAGTTCCATGTTTACATTTTCAGATTCCCATAATCTACAGTATATTATGGGAATTCGAAACATGTGGAACTTCCTGTACACTAACATGTACAGGAACATCCACAGTGATCTTTTTGAAAACTATGAAAAAAAAATAGATATATATTTGTGGTGGAAAACTAGTACTGCACAACATTTGGAAAATAACACCCCATAGGAAAATACAACAGTGGCAACATCAAGCTAAGAATCATATTCTTCTCCAGGGGGAAGAAAACTGGTCTAAGCTATAAGGAAAGATATGTAGAACTAAATAAAAGGCAACTATCTGTCATGATTTCACCACTGATCTGGTCTGGTTCCTCACAAGAAACACCTGCTCCCCTTCTCATTACTACTCATCGTATCCACCTGCACCTGTCAGTATATAACCAGCCTTCAGACCAGACATCAGTGCCAGATTATTCATTGGTGAGATTTATTCCAGCATTCTGATTCCTGCCTGCCTGTTTGCCTGACCTGATCTGCCCCTGTTTCTGAACCTGTCTGATCCCTGTCTGAAGTGACTGCCACCCTGTGCTGCCTGAGCCTGATCTGTTTGTCTACCTGCTCGTTACATAACCTGGAACGGTTTCTCAACCTCCTCCTGGATTTCCCTCTGGTTCTTCATTGGACTTCTGATTACCTGGCTCTAACCCCGGACTTCGCCCCTGACCATGGATTAGGGTTTGTCCTCTTGCCTATGGTTCTGAGCCTCTAAGTTCTCAGTTCAAGGATTACAAACAATATTGCCAGGCCAGTAGATGTAAGCATTTTGGAAAAATCCTAACCCTATTGTAAGTTATGTTTTTAGAGTATTCTTTAAAATTTAATTAAGACAAAAATGAAGTCAATGGGAAAAAAAAGCAATAACTTTAAATTAGAAGATAGCAGGTTACTTATGCGTCCCAATCATTACCTTCAGCATTGACACAGGTCACATTCTGTACTGCAGTTCCAGGACCACAGGAGCTATTGGTGGGAATGCATTTTTCCTTTTGTTGGATTTGCCACCGGTAGCAGACAAGATCCTCACAGGGGATGAACTCCATCAGATGAGGGCAAGTCCCCAGAGTATTACTGGACTCCCACAACACCTCTCTCTTCCTTTTTCTGAAACCTGATAGAAAGCAGACAGGGAAGAAAAGAGCAGAGAACATGAGAGAATTGACAGACTATTGCACATGCATGATTGAGGATGTTGTCTTTCAGAGAGATCAAAAACTCCTTTAAACAAAGGTTTACAAGGCAGTTAACAGTAAATCCCCCTATTTTTCACATTTCTATGTTTGATCTAGTGCAGGTTGTCTGTTCCAGTCTAAGCTAAAGTTAAATTCATAGCCCTGTTGTTTCTCATAAAAAATAAAGAGAATACAAAGTAGGTGGTTCAAAGAGGAGAGGGCAGAGAGAACCACTTTTGTTTTCCCAAGGATGTCAGTCTAGGCACCAAAACAAAAACACTAAAACTCTTTTCATTTTCAATTTGGTTCAACTATTTTTTTGAAATGATAAAAATAAAAATCACACAAGGAAGGAAGGAAGGAAGGAAGGAAGGAAGGAAGGAAGGAAGGAAGGAAGGAAGGAAGGAAGGAAGGAAGGAAGGAAGGAAGGAAGGAAGGAAGGAAGGAAGGAAGGAAGGAAGGAAGGAAGGAAGGAAGGAAGGAAGGAAGGAAGGAAGGATTTTAGATTTCTCATATTTACAGGACATCGTGGCATGCAGGATTTTTTGCTGTGGGAATACATTGTCAGTGTCAAGATAACTGTTTAGACTCAAGTGAAAAAGAAAAAAAAAATGAAGCTGTTTTGACGTTTACTGAAATGTTGATTCTTCAGTAAAGAGGCAGTGTTTACGGAAATACAGCAGAAGCAGTATTTCCAAGGCAAGAGGGAGTAATATATTGAGAAAAAGTAGTACAAAAGAGGCAGAGGTGTGACAGAAGCAAAGAAGCACTGTCAAGCTGCAGTGATGGTCCATTTTTTTTGACAATTACTTTGTGTATTTATATCTTTACAATTACAATCACCCTTTTAAGAATTGCTGCAAGTATGTTGTGACCAATCTGGGATAATCTTTGATAAGGAAATCAAATCATAACACTAAATGAGTGTCATTTGACTTTCCTTTTACTGAAAATCTTATCAGTTAAATTCATATCCAACCACATTAAAACAGAGAAAAAAAAAAAAAAATATATATATATATAGGCTATATATATATATATATATATATATATATATATATATATATATATATATATATATATATATATATATATATATATATATATATATATATATATATATATATATATATATATATATATATATATAATATAAAACAACAACACTGTCAGTAAGAGTGATGAGTAAGTTAACTGAAGAATGGAGCTGTATGTCTCTAGAAATAACTATCTACATTCAAGAAAGTGCACCATAAAAAAACCCTTTCCTAGCCTAGATAATTTAATATTGACCGGCAGAAATTCCACTTACAAAACTAAGCAAAACCAACTACAACAAAAAAAAAACCTCAAGGCTCTCAATATACATGGGACACAGATAGGAAGGCTTGCTATGGACCGCTAGGACCTGAATAAAATAAGTGCTAAACAATAATAATATTAATGTAGATAATGTAATTATAACACTGATAAAATATAGACAATATGGGAGAGTGAACAGTTCTAATAATCACATCAGAAATGTATATTCATAAACATAATGTCATAGTGTTATAGCGTTATTTCATCTAACATAACTTTTGTTGTTTTTAGTTGTTTTTAAGTTATTATGTATTTCTTGTTTTCCCTCTGTTGCCCTGTCAGTTTCCCTCCCCTCACTCCCTTCTAGATGCTGCCTTCCACACCTGTTCCACATCTGCTGATCAGCCTAGTCTTTATTCAGTCTCCCATATATACTCCTGCATTGGTACCTTGCAAGAGCCTCATTGCTGATTTCTATATAATTTTTTCTGCCTTATTTAAATCAAAGTGTTAAAATCTGGTTTTGCTATCAAAGTAGTCTTTGAGACAAAATTTTTAATTATACTCTGTGATTGCTTCTGATAACGTAGAGGCATCTCACCACAGAAAGGATGCATTCATATTAACACTTTGAGAAAAATGTATGAATAACTTTGATTCTTTAATATCACAGCCTTATCATTCAGCATTTTAAAGAACTTTGGAGAATGATCCAAATGTCTTTTCATTCAATATGAATTGAAAAACGACTATATCTGTAGCTCAATCTCCAAAGTTATGGTTGAAAGAAATTGTTATATTCAGTTAAATAGAACCAAGGAGTAGTCAATGCTTCTTTTAGCTCCTCCAAAAATAAAAACTTATTTTATGATTTCCCTCACTTGACCACTGTGTTCCTTGATGTTTTGTTCACAAATGTTCAAAAAAAGACTTTTGAGGCCCTCAGAGAACAGCTGAATTCTAAATGAGAAAAATGTATTCAGAGAAGATGTCTACTATCTAATAAAATTACTTTCTTAGATAGGGAACTGGGAACAGTTTTAATTATTTAAATTAAAGCTGGTATATAGAAGTATGAGAATAGTATACAAGTAGCTTTTTTTTTCAAAGTATCAATTGTCAGCTACTTTTTACAAATTAGTTCAGAAAACAACTGTGATTTTTAGCTCTTCCACCTTTCTTCTTTTGTAACCATAAAACCTCAAAAAGAAAATCTGTTAAATATGAATGAGAAAGAAATTGATTGTTGTTGCCTGAAGAGTGGCAAGCATATCATAAAGACGGCCCGAACAATAAAACGGCATAAAATATTATTGAATGACACAAACTTTTTGAGTCAGTCATTATCTTTATGCCACTTACCTATTCATCCACATAGCCGTAGTATCCAGTATTATTATGCATATACTCCACTCTACAATATTGATTTTCTTAAGGATGGATTGGTCATAAAATATTCATTTTTCCATGAAAAGGTCTTTATTGATTGGTCATGTTCACATTTATAGTTGAGATTGACTTCTAAGCTTTTCCAATTCCCAGACGACAGTACAATGTTCTTGCTTGTAGAAAGCTGACGGATGAAATTCCTTTTTTCTAAACCCTCATCTCTCCCTTAGTGAAACTGGTCTCTCCCATGCTTATTTTATTTTACACTGACACCGGCCACCAGTGGAAAGGCCCCACATTCTTTTTCTACTAAGGTACCACCATTTAACCCTTGGGATCCCACTTGGCAAATTACAGACATTGGTCTACCATCTCTTGAAGTGAAGCATGGGTTTAGTAGCTTGATCTGAGGGAAGCTGCCTCTCAAACACCAAAGACACTTTGGATCGATTGCAGAATTGCCCAGAGCACTTACTGCTACCCGGATCCAAGCCACAAGAAACGATTTGGCTAGGATATGAATAATTAAAAGCTTTCTTGGACATACCAGGTTTATTTCAGAAAAGGATCAACAGTTTCTTTTTTCTATTTGTGTGTTTTTTTGTTTTTTTACACACTGTAGTCAAGAAATGCACCTTTCCTCTATGTTCCGGTAGAGACATTGCTGAAAATTCCTCCAGTAAGCTCTCATATTCAATTGATTTCCCAGTACAGCTGCAAATAAGATGGGCCAAGATGACATGAAAACATTTGAAGTTACAACAAGGCAAGCTAAATTTATAATTTTCCCTAGAGCCAAAGTGCTTGGCTCCTTTACCCAGAAACAGTTTAATTTTAGGTCAAAAGCAGATCAGTTTACTCTAAAATGTTAAGGGAGTCCTATCAGAGCAAAGAATTCTTTGAAGACCCAGGGCTACAACCAACTAGAACACAACAAATCTCAGCCACTCAATATCTGCTTGGTGTATCGTAGGCAGCACACTCACTGTGATTGACTCTGTGATGCTTTATAATCTGCCTGCTGTGTACTCTAAGGCTTTATGAATGCCATTAGAAGATAGCTTGCAGCAGGAGCCTTTCAAACAAAACAACAGACAGTTCTTTGTTTTTCACTCCTTGAAATATATTAATGACGCCGTCTCTGAGAGGACCCTGCTCATCTGATAGAGATCTGGTGTTTTGAGACTGCCACCGCTGACCTAAACAATCCGCACTGCTGTTGCTCCCCAGGGCCCTTTCATGCACATTTACTCACTGCAGGGACGAGGTCATGATGCCCTTTTAAAACAGACCTTACACACTAACAGCTCAAACACCCTTGCTTCAAACACACTTCCAGAGATTTCAGAAACAGCCTGTTTTCACCTGTGTACAAAATGAAGTACACTGAGTGCTCCCTTTCTCTTCATCACTTTAGTGTTTGATATAAAGGCCTTGTAAAAATGCTCATATCCCTTGGTTTGACCAAATGCCTTCACATTACCTAGTGATTTTTGCATTCTATAGGCATTCTATTTCAGGGTTGCCTCGTATTTAGTTCCATATATCTTCCCATCAGCTCTGCCCATTTTCCCTAAACGACAGAGGAACATTTTTTGTGTCTACACATCTTTAGTGTAACTGCTGGAGTCCAAACTGGTCAGCTTCAAGGAACAACCATGTCAGCTATTGTCAGGATGTGGTGGTATAAGCTGGACCTAATATAGAGACATGTGGGTACTGTAATATCTGAGTCAATATGTTACTCCCCACCAGCCCCATAATGCTGGCATGACAGGCAGCTCCTTCATGGATTCAGCACATTTGTGAAACGGATGATGGATCTGACACATAACATAGTAAATGTAAAACCAGCCTAAGCAAAGGAACCAAAACATATAGGCCAAATGATAGATAATCTTAAATCCAACAAAATAAAACAAAATATGGGCAAAAAATAAAATCTAAGAGAAAACTGCTAAAACAAAACCCCACCTATAGCGGGTTCGTCAATTTTGCTCTTCAAGGTCTGATGTGATTCACCCTTTAGGTGTGTCTTTATAGACACAACAAAGTCAAATAATCAGGTCATTAGCAGGACTCTGGATAAATTGACTGCATAATGAGGCATTACTCTAACTGTCAGGTCACCAAAGCTGGGTGGAACCCCCGCCACCCTAAGGATTCAGTCCTGCTCTTTCCACAGCTCACCTACTTGGCCCTCAGAACCCTTGGCTCAAACCTGTCGTCCCTCATCTCCAAACGTGCT